ATGTGCCTTGGCTGGTTTGGATGTGTATGTGCCTGAGCTGGTAGTGTGTGTGTGTATGCACCTAATTGATTTATGTGTTTGTATATGTGCAATTGTGTCACACCCTCCTGTTTAACAGCGCAATATTGAGATCCTGAGAGTTGGCCTGACCCCACAGGGCAACAATCATAGTAATGCCTACGTATACAACAAAATTTAGCCTATACTAACACTACACTACAGTAAAAAACACTACACTGAAACTTTGACAAGTTATTTTTTACAATACATTCTGTCTAAATAGCTGGAGTCTTAGGTCCACTGAAATGAGTGGTGCCAGGATTTCATCTGGTAGGTCAACTTACATCAGTGAAATAATCCCCTAGACCTGCACAGTCTAGAGTGTTTCAAAGCCATCACAATATAAAATTTCTAAGTGTAGTGGTCAGAAAGCCTTGCATTAAATGGATTAAATTTAATCCTCAATTACAACCTTAAATCTGCAAGTAAATGAACTGAAGGAAGACTGTAGTTTGGTGAACTTCATTTACAAAGAATACAACACTGTAACACTAATTCAGATGGTTTGAGGAGAAATGAGAATTTTAAAAAATCCATTAATTGTATAAGACTTCTAATTAGAGAGAGGAAAAGATAAGCTCCAATACCTTAAAGGATAACATCTGAAACTGCTCATAGTCTATGGCTGCAGAGTTTTCCACTATTACTGTAACTTGAGCTTCATTCAGGACAGTTTGGGGAACGACTCTGAATATGCCACCAGGTCCAACAAGTCGGAGGTTGAATTTAGCATTTGCCCCCTATAAAAAGAGAATAACAGAGTAAAATTATCGCATGGTTAATTTTGAAGTGATGCTGTAGCTGTGAGGTCCAGAAAATATGCAAGAGAGAAGAATTTGTTTTAGTGATATCTTTTATTGGATCAACTGCTTGGTTGAGATAGACCTAGACAAGCTTCTAGGTCTAGCACAACCATGCAGTTCATCCAATAAAAGATGGTTAAATCTCCTTCATCTGCAGGCCACATTTCTTTCTGCAAAGCACAGTCCCTGTTATTCAGTATGTGTATAATTAGAATGAGTGTGACTGCTTACAACGTTCTGCCTCCTCCCTACCCCCCATCTCTTGGGTAAGAGAGTGCTAAGAGGCTTAGTTAAATAATCTCTCCAGCTCCGGTCACAGGACACAACATAGCTTTTTTAAAAATAGATTAACAAGCTTGACTGTGGAAAAGTACCTGTGGGTTATAGTGAATCACAGGCTGAATATGAGTCAACAGTGTTCTGTTGTTACAAAAGTAGCTAGTGGGATACTGGGATGTATTAAACAGGAATGTCATATTGAAGTTGTGGGAAGTGTTTCTTTCACTCAACTCAGTATTGGTAAACCCCACCTGGAGTAATGTTATCAGTTTTGAACACAACACTGTGTCCAGAGATATGTACAAATAGGCACGCATGCAGAAAAGAGATTAGGGGTCTAGAAAACATGACATATGAGGAAAGCCTGGAAGAACTGGGATTATTTAGTCTAATGAACAGAAGATTGGGCGGGTATTTGGTAATAGCCTTCAAATAGAAAAAAGGTGTTGGAAAGTGAATGGTTAATTGTTCTCTTTTTTCCAAGCAAGATGACAAGCAGTAAACAAACAAGAGGACAAGCTACTACAGCTGTTCTCAACAATTTTTTGTATCAGGACTGACTTGTAAAAATTGATGGCCAGTCCTGTCCCAGTGCCCCTCACTTCTGACCCACTGCACCCTGCCAGTCCCTCCCCGATTCCAGACTCCCTGTGTGTGGGGCATAATCAAATAAAACACAGATATCTGATTATTCATGTTACACTTTCCATTCCCCCCCACCAAAAAAAGAAATCTAACAATCCCCATGAGCAGTACAAAGGAGGGTTGGGGCAAGGGGAGCAGCATGGGGGGCCCCAAGAAGTCCGCTGCAGGCTGGAATTCTGCCAGCCTGCAAAGGAAAAGCCATATTTTCCAATGTTTTTCTCCTTTAAAGGAGATTCCAGTTTTAAAGTTCGTTAACTCATTTTTAAAGTTTGTTCACAACCCTTTCATGTATTCTTGAGACCCACATTTGGGTTTTGACCCATGGGTTGAGCAACACTGAGCTAGTAGATGGTTAGCTTTAGATTGTGATGAGGAAGATATATGGAAATATTAGGAAGAACTTTATGATTTTATGGCTAAGCCCTGAAAACAGATTACCTAGAAAGGCTGTGGAATCTCTGCCACTAGAAATTTTAAAGTGCAGGTTAGATAGCCATTTGTCTGGGATGGATTAGACAGGGATGATCCTGCCTTGAACCAGTAGCCTTCTTGAAGTCTCCTCCAGATCTGTTTTCTTTCATTCTATTTCTTCTGCCACAGTAGAAAACATCACATGTGGGCTGTTGGGTGGGTAATTTGTTTGGGAGACAGGCTTTGCAGTGCTTCAAGGGCCGTGTCTCCTATATTAGTCATATTTCAAGATAGTGGGAAAGTGTAAACTGGATTATTCCCTCCAGATTCCAGACCAGGATTTTGGAACAACTTAAGTAAGTGAAGGGCTCCAAGGACTCCATCCTCTGTTCTGATTGAGACCAGTACATAATGGGACAGGACAGAGCAGCCTATTTCTTCCACTGGGTCTAAATGCTCTTTATGCATCTAAATGTAGTCACGTAGGAGGCATTTTTTCTTCTTATATGGATTTTAGGTCCAGTATTTTCTCCTGTGTGGCTGGTTTAGTCCTTTTGAGCGTACTCATGTAACACCCATACACACTTGGGTTGCGTATGATAAAGTGTGTGCTTTTGGTTGTTGTGCATCATGGGGTGGGGGGCGTGTGTGTGTTTTATGTGGGCAAGATGGCTTCTGTTGTTTTGGCCATGTGCTCTGCATATGGAAAGCTGTATGTGGACAAAATCCATAAAATCTGTTGGCCTCATTGGCCAAAGGAAGCAGAAGATTCTCCGGGCAGATTGAGTAAAAGAAAGGCTGGAACATGGCCCTCTCTAATTGGTCAAGGCTTAGATGATGTTGCACCAGGTATATAAGAACAACTCCCCTAAGGTTTTTTTCTCTTTCTTCTGGGGCTGCTAAGAGCTGCACAGCAGAATTGGGAGCCAGAAAAACTGCTGCCCATGGCAAGGTTCTCCCTACCTCTTCACCGGAGAGGCAAGCAAAAGGTATGTGAAGGGAAAGCCTCTGGTATAGGGAAAGAAAGTCTGTCTTGGAGTATCCTCAATCCCCCACCCCACCCCCTTTTTTTTTTGATTGGGATAATACTGTGGAGGTATTAATGCCCAGAGCAAACTGACCAGGAATGGGGTCCTGGCAGTTACTGGCCACATGGGCCTTGCCCCCTCTATCTTGTAATTGTAATGTCTCAGCATAGTGGTGTAGCTGAGACTGGCCCTTTTTTGCTGTTTCACAGCTATTACATTTTAGCCTAGCTGTGTGGCTGAACTCCAGCCATATGTTTGGCTAGCAGATTTGAGCCACGGTAGAGCCTGGCATGTTTTGATCTAGGGTGAAACCCAGCATCACTTGTTGTTTATCGAGGCCTCAGTGCAGTATAGGCCTGGCTGGCTCTTGCTGCCCAGTTCAGGCCCAGTGAGATAGGCCTGCACCTCCTTTTGGCCCTTTTGTAGTGTATGTCCCAACCAAGTGGTGTGGTTGGATGCTAGTTGTAGGTCAGGCCCAAGCCCTTTTAGTTCTTTTGCAGTTTTCTGCCCAGCAGAGCTGGGATTGGGACTAGGAATGTTAGTGTGCAGTATGCTGATGAAAGCCACAGTTAACCCCCTCAAAGCTGCGGAAATGGAGATCAGCACTCTACCATGTCTCCAGGAGCAACAGAGCTCCTTGCAATGCAGAAGGACCCACGCTCTCGGGCAGCTCCTTGCAGCACAGTGAACCCAAGGATCAGCTCAGGACTCTCCAGTGTAGGTCCCCCTTCTCAGCTCATTGCTGAAGGGCATATATAGGGGTGCAGGCCCCCAAAACTACCCTTTGGGGAGCCCCAAGTCCCTGACTGCCTGGGCATGGGTGAAGCCTCCCCCAAGAGGGAGCCACCTATAGACTTTGCTTTGTAGTTAATAGTGTTTTAAAATTATATTTAGTGGGTTTTTTGTTTTGTTTTGTTTTTGGTAATAAACTTAGGTTTTTGTGTTTACACTGCTTGTGAGGAGGGGGTTTTGTTTATACAGGCCACACCAGCAAATTTAGTGTTCCCATATTTTGGGTGGGGGCTTGAGCCACTGGTATAATTTATGGGGTACCTTAAAATGTGAACCCAGCCCTTCTTGCTGCTGAGCAATGTGTGGCAGAAGGGTTACACTCAAAAGAAAGCTGCTATGGCCATATACATTCTGTTGTGATCGAGTTGTGATGCTAGCTGTACAAGTCTCCAAAATGTTAGTAACAGGAAAAGCACAACCTGTGGACCCTCCCACTCCCCCCCCCTCCCC